GTGACTGTCGTTCATCACTTAGTCTTAGGAAAGCTTTAATAGTGGAAGCTGAGACGTTGCTCACGAGCCCGGGCTTTGTGTAGCCGGTGTGTTCCTGCGTTGTGTCAAATAACAAATAACATAAAGGTTAGTTTTAAATAAGCATGACAGGTTGACTATGAGCAGTCATCTGAACTCTTGCATTAATACTTGCCTAATACATTATTATCCACCGGACAAAACAGCTGATAGTGTGCGTGCTGTTTAACTCCTTTAGCTTTCAATGAATATTAATACCAAGGTCAGTCTTGCTGTCTGGTCTCAGTATGATTTCTCTTCCCAGTTGATCATGATCGTTAAAATGAAGCCAGCTTGTCTATTTTCCAGAAATGATTTAAACTGGAAGTAATTTGAATTGACAGATTTCAATGTTTTCCCACATTTTTAAATGGCTCCAGATTTCTGCCATCTTGAGTATTTTGCCAGGATTTCTCCAGGCTCGTATGTTTGCGTGATTCTGATTTTTTGTTTTTACCAAAAACACCCTGACCCACCCAGAGTTATTTCCATGTCCTGTTGAGCAAGTTAGGTTGTATAAACAAAGTCAGTAGAATCGATCCAGAAGAGAGAAGGCTGATCTTTGTTAATCTGTAAACTGTCAGCTGACTGCCTTTAAGCTTGCTTAAATATAGAGTTTCTGGAAACGTCACTGCAGAAGATGTTAGTGGTAAGCATCAGTCTCTATTAGTTCTACGTTTTAGGTACTTAAATGTAAGAAGTAAACGACAGTTAAGAGATTTAAAGATGATTTTTAGGATGTAATCACGTGGTTTTAGCAGACATGACATTACTCAGCATTCATTGCCTGCTTCCTTCGTTGGTATCATCAGTTATAGTGTATACAATGTTACAACACAGCTGAACTACTGGTTACTACTTTACCAGTGTATCAAAAAATCGCTGAAGGGTGAAGTGCCTTTACCTTTAAATATCTATTTCTATTCTGTCAATAACAGACATATGACTTTATTATTTTAGTGATGCTTATGATTCAACTCACAGTTGTACATCTGCTGTGGGAGAGACACTTTCAAATCCCTCAAATATCTTTTAGAGCTAAATCTCTATTATAATACCTGCTGTGTTGAGGAAGCTGAAATACATCCGTGGTGACCTACACTCACTGGGTGTTTTTGAACATTCATCTAATGGGCAGTAACTCAACTACTTACAGGTGCTGTATTACTGGCAATCAGACCGTTTAGACGAGTTGTCTGCCTGACAGTCCAGGTAACTTCTTGGGTTTAAAATCCAGCCTTTGTTGTTTGCAGAGTGACTTCTCAGCTGGTAGCTTTGGGATCTGTTACAAGCAGCTTTGCAGAAATATGCTGTTATAAGAGATGCTCATGAAAATTCTACTTTTTTCATCTGATGAACTTGTCAGTAGTGGTTTTCAGTACAGCTCAGTAATAATGTGGCAATAGTGCGGTAAGGTGGAAATAAGAAAGCAATGATATGGAAATATTAAATCATTACTATGAAATTACAATGTAAAATCCAGGAAACTACCAAATAATATATTGTATCAGCAGTGGTTTTATCCAGAAATGTGGAAACAAATATACGCCATATATATGAGTCAAAACTCTTATATGTACCAATATACTGATAACAATATAATAACATGTTAGGAATAACATAGTAATATTTGTGGATCACAAAAGATGACTTGATTGTGACCTCATAAAAATAAGTAAATAAATAATGTAATAAGTAATATCAGCATTCTTCTTATTTTTAATGCCATATCCTGAAACTACCTGATTCAATCTAATTCCAATGGTTTTAACTCATAAAGTCATGAAATTATGACTCAAGGACCGATGATGGAAAAACCTTACTTGGAGCTCATTTTGTATCATTTTAACTTTGCTTTTTGATCCACAGACTCTAAAGATGCATTTCTGTAGCTGTGCACTCATTGCACTGTTGCTCGCTGTAGCCTCGGCAGACCACCATCTCCACCACAACCGTGGTTCTGAAGACCATATGAGCTGCCACAAGCTCTCTGCTCCTAATGCTGACTTTGCCTTTGCCCTGTACAAACGTCTGAATGCGAGGACTGCTGCTGGAAACAACATTTTCTTCTCACCACTGGGCATCTCCACTGCCCTGTCCGTACTGTCTACTGGGGCCCATAGTGAAACCCACAGCCAGCTGTTCTCCAGCCTGGGCTACAGCACCTTAAACCAGACTCAGGTCAATGAAGCCTACCAACATCTTTTCCACGTGCTTGGACAAAGCCAGGAGAACCAAAAGCTGGATGTTGGCAATACCATTGCAGTGCACTCAGGTTTCAGTCCCCTGGAGAAGTTTCTGAATGATGTCAAGCAGCATTACTCTGGTGAGGTCTTACAAATCAACTTTACTAACCCTGCTGAGGCTGCAGATAAAATCAACAGACACATTGCCAATAAAACACAGGACAAGATCAAAGATATGGTGAACGATGTTGACCCTGAAACGATGATGATGCTCATTAACTATGTCTATTTTAAAGGTAAGCAGCCTGATCAAGTCTATTGTTAGGCTACAACAGACAAACATGGCGTTAACGCCATAACCATATTAACACGGCAAATCCTCGCTAGCGAGTTAGGGTTAGCTTGCGTTAACTTGCTAACAAGGATTTGCTGCGTTAATGCGGTTATGGCGTTAACGTCGTATCAGCGAGATTAATGCTGACAGCACTAAGGCTGACACATCCCAATATTGTCAACACGACTCTCCACTGTGTCGTGCAGTGCAGGAAACCGTTTATTAGAGAATGGACACATGAGGACGACTTCCACGTTGACGGCAGTACCAAAGCTCAGGTTGACATGATGATGAGGATGGATTACTACCACTTCTATGAGGATGCAGTTAACCACGCTAGCATCATCGTGCTGCCATACAACAGTAACTATGATGATTGTCCTTCCTGATAAATTCTGGATGAAGACTGTGGAGAGAAACATCAACAAGGACGACATAAGAAAGTGGCAAAACTCAGCATCTATGATGTAAGATTTATTGCATTATGTCTGAATATTCCTGCTTGCTAGTAGATGGAGACTGTTGTCAAAATGACCTATTGCCGTTTTATATCACTCCTGTTATTAACTTTGAGTGTCCAAGTACATTTACATTGATACGTACTGTAGATGAAATGTGTTACAAGCGTATGATGTATTCATATAGTCTTTAAATCATTTTTGACCAGAATCTGTTCTTCAATGTGCTCATTCAACAGATATGTAGGGATGTTTTTGTGCTTTCCACAATGTCCATAAAGATGAGAAGCGTTCTGTATCATAGTGATGCTGAAAAACGAGTTCATGCGTTTATTACTTCCAGGCTGGATCGTTGTAATTCATTATTATCCGGTTATCCTAAAAGCCTTTCATTTCGTCCAAAATGCTGCCACGAGAGTACTGACAGAGACTAGCAAGAAGGAGCAAATTCCTCCTCACATGTGGTTCCAGGGGTATTTGTCTGTTTGTTGGCAGGTAGCATTCACAGTTTTCAGATTGTTACGTTCTTAGTCTAGGCGAGTTTTGAACGCAACAAGAAGTTGGCCCACTCACACACCACCCAAGCAAGAACACCAACAACAATATCTTTTAAAGTGCTAAGCAGCCATTTATTTGCTTCAGCAGTGAGCAGTGCCAAAAACAACAAACAAAACTCCCTAATGGTCCCTACACTTTCCTACACAAAATGAAAACCAAACAAGAGTCAATTCACTTACCTAACTTCCTAAATGAAAAACAGGAGAAAACGTAATCAACAAAAATGGCTTCTCACGCCTACTAGGCTGCTGCAGTGAAGGATATATACAAGGTGAACAAAATACACGATTGCTACTTGACAAATCTATTTACAGCTATTTACAAAATTGAGGTACTAACGCCAGACCCACACACGAGGTTATACTTGCAAACCAATTTGTCAAAGAAACTCTACACACCAACGAATCAAAACACAGGTTCTTTGTTGGATGGTGGAGGTTAGGAGAGAGGGGGCCAGGTGGCTGTCATCTGGTAGTTAAATACTGGAGGTGATTAGCCAATTATCCAATCCAAGGACAGGAAGAGACTCCACCCAGCTACTCAGCAGGCACGCCCAGGTGTCCACCTCCTAAGAGAGAGGGGAAAAACCCACAGCCATCCTCTGGTGGGAGGAGTCACACATAAAACAAACACTGCCAACATTAGATCATAACAAGATTTTGTGTGATGGTACACAGCAAATCGAGCATGTCCAAATTAACACTGTCGGATTTGATTTCAACACTATTAAAGTGTCTATATGGGTCCACACCAGAGAGTGTTAATTTAACTCTTTTTGGAGAGTTGGTACGTTAACTCTGATTTAGTGTTAAACACCAAATCTGTCTGGAGTTGATAATTTAACACTTGGTGTTAAGAGTTTATATATTAACTCTCAAAGAGTATTTTAGTTTAACTACGTAAGAGTTATCTTCTAATTCATTCTAAAAAGCAGGAATTTTCCTGTTCTGAACTTCTAGAAATTTCTTTTGGAAATAAACATTTACTAAAAAGATGCAATGGTTTTTGAAAAACATTTATTCTGAACTGTGCACCACAATTTCAAAACATTTTCTGAAAGATGTAACAGTGTACATGTTCTCACTTTCATTAGAATTTTGTTTATCAAAAGGTCTGACATGGTAAATGCAAATAACAGCATTCTCATCACTTATTTCTTCAATACAATATGCATGTCCTTCATTCATCCCTTTGTGGAACTTCAACGCACTTCTGCTCTCCCCCATATTCATCTTCACAAGCATATCCTGTGCTGGAGATCGAATAAAAATTAGTTGGCACTAATTAATGGCACAAAACAATTTTAGCACAGTGAAAAAAAAAGGAATCCTCTTTGAGCCATTACTTGTGTAAAGTATTTTCCCAAAAGACAAAGACACAGGCAACAGGTAATACTGAACTAAATGTAAAACCTCAACCTTTTTCATTTTTACCTAAACCGTGTGCACAAAACTCTGGAGGGATCTATGCTAACGTAGAATCCAGTCAGGACGTCTGCTACTGCTGTTTGCTCGTTTTTTATTTTTTCAGGCTTCAAGCAGCACCATCATACCAACATTTCACATTCTAGACATTGTTTTAGGTGTATTTGACCAAAAGTTTGACTGAAAATTCACATGCAAGCTTTTTTTCCAAGGCTGTGGTATTTGTCCGCAAACAATACCTTTCAGCTAGCTAAAACAGAATGTTATGCTATCAGCGAGCAACATGGCTAATGCCTTTCACACAGCTTTGTCTCAACTCCAAAGAGCCACAGAAGTAAAAGCTCATAATAATAACTGAAACAATCTTTGAAAAAATGACTTACCAAGCATGGCAAACAACTCAAATGGGGGCGGAGTCTGTGAATTCACTCTGTTGGTGTCATAGCCCCTGTAGGAGTTCAGAGTTAAGAGGTCAGGAGTTAATGTTTCCATTGTAACACCTCCAGATTTGACATAGAAACACTCATTTTTAACACTCGATTTTAACTACTATCATTTTACACCTCAGAGTTACATTAAAAGAATGTGACTCTGCTTAGAGTAAAATTAACTCTACTTTTGCAAGGAGACTATTAACACCAAAACATTTAACACTTTTGAATTTGCTGTGTAGATAATAGCAGCTCAAACACATTTCATTTACATTGAATTTTGGTGAAAATTGGGTGAAGGTCGCATCAAATGTAAAAATCTTTAGAAGGATTTGAACTCTCTGATTACTCTTGTTAGGGCTAGATTAAACACTCCCATTTACCCTGCAGTAGAAGCAGGATGCTTAGGGCTTCGAGTGCATCTTTACTCACCACTTTTGTGTTTTGTAGAGATAAGGTGGGATTGCCCAGGGGCACTTGTGGGGCATACTGTGGGAGTATAGGGTTCTGGGTCAACTGCTGCTGCCCATCAGGTTCTTGTTTCCACAAAGTGCCCATGGTCTTGAAATAAAGTCAAGTTATCTTCTGTTGGTGTTGGAGTCTACCAGAGGTGCTTCTTGTGACTGATCGTGAGTTTGATTTTCATGGACAGGATCTCAGGGTGAAGAGGGCGTCTACTCTGGGAAGCTCAGAGTAATATTCCTAACTGTTGCAGATAATGTGGTGCTGTTGGCGTCATCAGAGCACGTCTTTCCAAATAAAAAGGAGTGGTTGGTAGCTTAGTGAGAACTAGATAAAACAAGAGTCAGAACCTCTCTTTGCAGGAAACGAGTGATGCGAAGTTGAAGTGGCAGATTTGTGTGGTGTCAGCAGTAATGTGGACATTGTAGTGATGAAGACTTATGATCCTGATCCAGTTAGTAAAAGAGGAACAACCTGTAATTTAACAGTCCGTTTTTCTATTTCTCAGGTATATAGATCTTACGATTCCAAAATCTTCTATAACCGCTGATGCCTCGTTGAAGAACATATTGCAGGAAATGGGCATAACCAGTGCCTTTGAGAACCATGCCGATTTCTCTGGTCTGTTCAATAACAGTCAGCTCAAAGTCTCGAAGGTGGGCAAACATTTCTCTTTTTGGTTCTGATTCTGAGACACTTAAAGACTCATTACAGAGTAAGAAATTAGCATCTGACCGTCTCCTTTCTTTTTCACCCACAGGCATCTCACAAGGCCACGCTTAGTGTCACTGAGATGGGAACAGAGGCAGCAGCCGTCAGCATCTTTGAAATGTTCGAAGCGCCACCAACAATCAAAATTGACAGGCCGTTCTTGGTTTTCATTTTGGAAAACTGCACTAAAAGCATCCTCTTCATGGGAAAGATCAACAATCCAACAGCTTCATAATTGCACATACTTGTGAGATGATATTAAGGTCACAGTTGCCATAATAAAGATCCTGTCATGATTAAAAACACTGACCTTTATTTATGAGGTTATCTGTCTGCACACGTTGATTTTCTGGTCAACAAAAATGACATTAGTGACATTTTTTCTCCAGGTAAATAGCAAGTTTGGAAACATTATGTCAAATATTTGATTTATATTTGAAGGTTGCTCGTGTAGAAAACTGTTCCGCACGTATATAAAACAGGTCCGCGGCTCTGAACCGTAGTAAAGGGACCTCTGGCTGATACGCCGGGTTCGTGTCGGCTCGTAGCTGAAAAATAGCTTTACTTTGTTGTCTGGGTCAACTTTGCAGCGAGAGACAGAGAGAGGCGTTGAAAGGCTCCAACAGAACTTATTGTTTCAGAGGAAAACAGGAACACAGCGTACAGTCGAGTCTTAATAGCTTACTCACAGCTGGGCTCGTCAGGCTCTCTTCTTGGCTGCAGTGGTTATTATTAAATAAAGTATTCTGATTCTGATTCTGATTATATTTACATGCTTCCAGCTCCCGTTTCTGCTCAGTGACAGCTCGTACTTTTCCTTTTTCTCCTCCATCGCTCACAGACACATCACGGGTCCATCCTCCCTGCAGCACGGACTACACTGCCCATCAGGCTGCATGCTTTAGGGCGATGCCTATAACACTCTATTGCCTTCATATTAAAACATTTTTTGAATAAAATAAATAAAAGTCTTTCTTCACGCAAATAGAGGTGACATGGGCCGTGAGGTTGAGACACAGACATGAGAGCCTCTCAATGCGTGTTTTGTTTGGGTTTGTTTGGCGTGGAATTACCAAAAATAGAGAGGGGACAGCCTAACATATGAAAACCTTTTATTTCAACAAAGTAACTGTATTCTGAATACCACCTTTTAAAACAGTAACTGTAATGGAATACAGTTGCTCATATGTTAACCGGTACATGTATTCCTTTACTCCCCAACACTTGTTGTGCCATCCTTGAGAGCACTACTGCAATCAAGTATCTGCAATAACTAACAATGACTCTTTTGATCCATTGGAGGAATTTTCACTCGTTTCTTTGTGACATTGTTTTAATTCAGCCA